ACACACACACACACACACACACACACACACACACACACACACACACACACACACACACCACTGTAAACCTCTGGAGGTCAGCGGACAGCACCTGCCTTTGAATATTTGTGCGAGGATTGGGAAGCAATCAGAAGTCAGATATGAGGGTAATTTCATGACAGTGGGGTTTGTGGATAGACTGTCGCATTGATGAAGGGTCTCTTGGGACCTTCCTGAAGAAACCAAATGGCCTCCCTTCTCCCATGGTTCCCTCTACACCTTCCTGGTGGAGGTCCCAAGAGACATTCGCTAGAGCTGTGCTGAGGGTGGGGAGAACCCAGGTTTTGTGACAGTTGATGCTACTCTTAAATTTACCTTGAAAGTTATGCTTCAGAGAACATGGTTCAAATTTTATGACGCATTTGCAAAAATACATAAACCCAGCATGCTTCTGCCTGGCATGATTGCCTGGTCCTTTGGCCGAGTACTGGGGGCTTTGACAAGTGTGCTATTCATGGACCTATTTTTACATCTCTGAAGCACCCTTGTCTAAAAATATTTCCTCTTGAGCTAAGCCTGCCTTCCACTAGTCCCAGGAAAAGTCATGGAGCTGAGGACATAGCCTTCAAATAGGGGTGTGTGTGTATTTCCCAGATAATTTATCCTCAGAGTCTTACAGTGAGTGTACAGGCCACTGTAATATAAGACAAGAGTTTCAGTGGCTTAAACAACAGTCACTTAAGTTAAAGAACCAAGAAAAGTCTCATTTGTTATAACACTGAAGAAACCAAATGGCCTCCCTTCTCCCATGGTTCACTCTATACTCTCAGCTCTATTATTTCCAGACAGTTATCGTCCCAGGTGGTGCTATTATATAACTCAGGAAGCCTGAGTGTTGTTGCTATGCTTGCACTCAAGATACTAAAAAATTTTTAAAGCAGCTTTCTGTTCTTGAGGGATTTCTAGTGGTATTATTTTACATTCCATCAACAATGAGTAAGAATTCTTCTCCATTTCCTGGCCTACAGTTTTGTTGAATGCATAGCTGTTATTTTCAATTTTCATTTATTATTTGATAATTTCATACATGCACACACTGTGTTTTGATCCTCTCTATCCCTGAT